GTGATAATCTGAATCCAATATAGCTATAAAAGAAAATTTCGTGCTAATTGACAGAATCAGCATCTGCTCAACCTTCTGGATCACCAAAGATCACCCGCGACTTTTGGTGGGTGTTGTTCAGTCTTTAGTTTTCTACGTTGTGTATTGTGTCCTGCTGTTTATTCTTATGTAGGTTTTCGTTTTTTGTAATGGCATTGTCAGTTTATTTTCGACTATGAGTTTGACTATACCCTTGTTATCCTTCGAGAAATATATATTTTATCAAAGGAGTCATACATTAAATATCTTATAAAAATACATTATTTATCAAAGAAGACATACATTATTTACCACAGGCCAACGTTTAAAAAAGTACTCTAACAAATAAATATTTGGATTGGATCATCGTTTTATAGATGATTGTCGTGTTTAATCTTATTTTTATTATATAGGAAGTCAATTATTTACAACAGGAAAATATACAATATTTACCACAGAAAACATAGCTTAATTAGCACAGGATACATAATTGATTTTAAACAGAAGACATAAATTATTTACAACAGGACAAAATACATTAGTTACCAAAGGATACATTCATTATTTACCACAGGAGACATAAATTTTTCAACACAGAGGTAAAAAAAAAGTACTCTAACAAATAAATAATTTGGATTGGATCTGTGTTTTGTAGTTGTTTGTCGTGTTTATCATATTGTTATTATATAGGAAGTCAATTACGTTTATGATTCATTTCCTCTACGAATATATGACTTTCTCTTTTTGATTTCTCTGTTGTTATACCGTGAACAATATAAACAGCTGTGTAAATATGAATTTAATATAGCTGCATAAGCAAATGTCGTGCTAATTCGATGCATTGGTATATTTCTTTTACAAAACATGTCATTGTTGTGACGTCTATTAAACCTTTGAATTTTAGAAATGTCCAATTTCAATAAAGTTTATGTTAACATTGTTTTTTTAAAAACAATATAGAACAGAACATTGTATTTTTAAAAGAATTCAACCTATATCTTGTTTATTATGTAAGCACAAATATGATTTGCTTAATAATCTGTAGTTAAACTTAGGGACTCGTTTGAAATTTGGAGAGTATCTACATTTGTTCATAGATATGATTCCTTGTCCGGCTTTGGCATTACTTTTTCGCTCAAATGAGCCATTAGGTAATGACTTTCAAACAATTTGATATCGAGCATTACTGAAGAGGCATTTATCATCGGCATGCGCATATAGTTTGGTAACATGTCTGCCGTTTAATAGTATGATTTTCATTGCGTAATTGTTGAATAGTAATGAAAATGTAGAATAATGGCATTTTAGTTTTTGAATTTTTACTTTTTGTGCAAGACTTTCAAGGGCGAGCTTATATTAGAACATAAAAACATCAAAACATTAAACGCCATTTGTTCTACTTTTTCATTACATTTCAAAATTTACCCAATATTTATCATAATTTTAAACGCCTTAACGGTAGCATTTTTTTCTAATTCATATGACAGTAAATGTCTGTTCATTGATATTCGATTCTAAATTGTTTGAAAGATTATATTTTAAAAAAAACATTGAACAGCTTATCTGTATATGAAATTACCTGAAATAGCTTTAAAATGTGTTCAGGAGCTATAAAACTCTGATAGTTTTGAAGATATAAAAACTTTGCCATAGCTGGTCGGTTATATGAATGTCGTCGCGTGCATTTCATTGATGAATTTGATATAAACCATGTGACGTTCTTGCATTGTTGCGTGACGTCATTGCCTAATATACTGGAAAATTACCTCTAATCTTCGATATAAGAAAATATTAGACAGAAGGATGAAAGGAATATGTCAAATTGCTAATAAGGAACATAACTATCCGTAGGAGACATAAATGACTTACAACAGGAGACATAGAAATACACCATTTACCACAGGAGACATGATAGATTGTTTACCACAATAGAAATACATTATTTATTAGAGGAGTCATACATCTGCATTATATACCCTATGAGACATACATTATTTATCATAGGAGACTTAAATCATTTACTGAAGGAGAAATTAAGTATTTACCACTGGGAAAAAAATTATAGTATTTAACAATAGAGAAAAACAGTATGAACAACATAAGACAGATTACTTATCCAAGTATAAATATATTATTTACTCTAGGTGACATTCCTTATGATATCCAGAAGACATACGTTTTTATCATGGGAGACATAAATCATTTACCAGAGGAAACCTAAATTATTTTCCGCTGGAAGCATATATTATTTACCACAGGAGAAATACATAATTTACCACAGAACATTTGAAGTTTATCATAGGAGACATAAATCATATGCTACAGATGACATAAATTATTCTTATTGACTAATTAGAAAAAGTAGTACCCGATAATTGTTCTGAATTTGGTGACTGTTGATTGCATTCATCCCTTCAAACTTGAAATAAAGGACACTACAGATACAGTAAAGTCTGTTTCATATATTGACTTACATGTTGAAAACTATTTTCCAACGACATGTAAATGTGGCCCTGTAAATTTGTCACAAACATTGTATTCTTTTTCCTTCTTCCTTTTGGAATCCCCTTTTTTTGTTGTACATAAATATCATGAAATTCAGATTATGATTCAGATTACTTTTGGAAGTAAGATTACAAGACTACGATGGTACGGTATAGGAGTGGCGGGAACTTTTCTGGAAATCTGGATTGAACCGTTTAATTCCCGGGAAACCGGAAATAGTCATTTCAATCGTCAGGAATTCGAGAATTTGGAATTCGATTTTATCGTGATGCAGGAATGGACACATTATTTGCACAGAAATTCGGGAATGGGCTTTTATTTTCCCGGGAATTCGGGATAAGACCCCTCCTACCTCCCTCTTCGTACATCAGTTCTGTTCTCCATCCTTTTGCTGAAGATCCGAAAATTTAATATAATTTGAGCTTTTCTTTGATAATATTTTGTCTGCCCCATTTTATTATATTCTTCGAAGCATTTCGTCATACTGTTATTTATGTAAATGTGTTATCTCTCCTACAGATAAATGTCTGGACTGTCAATTGGGCTTTTCTAATTTATCTTCGTCAGCTGGTCTCCTGAAGAGAGTTGTTTCATTGGCAATCGTATCACATCTTATTTTTATATTCATCATGTTTATAGACTGCCTGATAAATTTTATAATTATACTGGTGTTTTTTATTCACTGCATCTGTTATCTTATTGGTGAAAAATATATCTCCCTATTTAGAACATGCGTTTTCGAATCAAATTGTAAACAGTTTGTTTTTGGCATTTTACAAATGCGTGTCTTAATTCACTTTTTAGGGTAAAAGTATGCTTTAAGAATTCTACTATACTGTAAACTTACATATATAATAGTGAGGGACAGCGGGACTATTTACCAGTGGGTTAAGATAACTTTCAGAATGCCTTAAGTAATTTACAAGTGTTCTTTAAAACAGTAAACCGTTTAAATTTATTCTTTTATTATTTGTTCCTTTTGGTTCTTGTGTTTAAATTATTTAGTATACCGTTATATTAGTTAACTGCATTTCCTGTGCTAAATTTGACTTTATATTTCATGAAATAATGGAACCAATATTTATGCAAATCAGGGAATATATCTGCTGGACAATATGAAAATATTTACTTTTTCTCTTTCCTCTACGAATTCGTATTTCTTTTGAAACTATCACACTTATGCTATTCTTAAATTTATGCAACAGTAGTGTTAGATGGTCAAAAACAAATGAAAAAGATACCAATTAAGGTAATAACACAGGTTTCTTTTCTTTCATTAGAGTTCTTACTTTTATCGATGATTCAAAAGACGTCATACAAACAGCTGAAGGAATAGCATGGATTCAAAAAGAAATACACTGCTTGCATCGATAATGAAAGCGTCTCCTGCTTTGAATGCATCACCAACCATGCAAACCCACACTCAGTTAATATGTCACGGACGGGAATAGGACAAAATCCGTAAATATTCGACTTTTCTTGTATTGAAACATCTAGGTTGGCAAAAACGCGTAGCTTGTGAGTAAAGAATGACATATCGTATCAGGCAATCAATTTGAGGTTGTGACCCGTAAGACCTGTTTTATATCGATTTCAGTCGCTCTTGCTAATTTATCTGTTGAACTGTGTTTTTTTTTTTGTGTGTGTGTGTGTGTGTGTGTGTGTGTGAGTATAATATCCCTGTTAAAGTCTATACAGTGTAATCGTGAACGAGCGTAACGATTTATTGAGATATATGAACGCCATACGAGTGGGCAGAGGAAAATAAAGGCGACAGTAGTTTACCAATGTTCAAATCTAGTAAATCAATCAGGAAGAGACTAATCAAGGCATCACATAATCAAGGCATCATACAAAACCTGGGGAAATTGCACGCATTTTAAAAGGTTAACACAGGTTTCTTTTCTTTCATTAGAGTTCTTACTTTTATCGATGATTCAAAAGACGTCATACAAACAGCTGAAGGAATAGCATGGATTCAAAAAAAAATACACTGCTTGCATCGATAATGAAAGCGTCTCCTGCTTTGAATGCATCACCAACCATGCAAACCCACACTCAGTTAATATGTCACGAACGGGAATAGGACACAATCTGTAAATATTCGACTATTCTTGTATTGAAACATCTAGGTTGGCAAAAACGCGTAGCTTGTGAGTCAAGAATGACATATCGTATCAGGCAATCAATTTGTGATTGTGACCCGTAAGACTTATGCTATATCGATTTCAGTCGTTCTTGCTCATTTATCTGTTATACTGTTGGTTTGTGTGTGTGTGTGTGTGTGTGTGTGTGTGTGTGTGTGAATATAATACCCCTGTAAAAGTCTATAAAGTGTGATCTTGAACAAGCGTAACATTTATTGAGATATATAAACGCCATATTAGTGGGCAGATGGAAGGTAAAGGTGACAGCAGTTTACTGATGTTCAAATCTAGTAAATCAATCAGGAAGGGACTAATTAAGGCATCACACAAAACCTGGGGAAATTGCACGCATTTTAAAAGGTTAACACAGGTTTCCTCTCTTTCATTAGAGTTCTTACTTTTATCGATGATTCAAAAGACGTCATACAAACAGCAGGGGATAAAGATGACCTTTTGGATAAACAAACACATCGTATATTCATAAATTGATCTCAGATACAACGCAACACTGCCTGTGAATTCGAAGACAAGTACAGTTCTTTGAAGTTTGATACTTTGTCCCGGTTTTTTCAGTAAAATGGGAGCAGGATTTACAAAAGATGACGAAAATGACAGAACTGGTGCTTTATTTCAGGCAATACGAAGAAATCGATTTCAGCTGGCTACAGATCTCATTTCAAAAGGTGCAGGGGTCAACTGTATAAATTATTTCGGCAATACACCACTGATAGAAACATGTCGAAGCCACAGGGCATCAACCAGGACAGGGAATGCTGTTGAATCTGACCGAGAGCGTTTTGTCACCTTTCTAATCAGCAATGATTGTGATAAGACCAAGTATGACATATATGGATGGACAGCTCTAATGTATGCCGAAAAGAATGGTCATGATACCATCATCGATATTTTGGAGAAAAAAGAGCAGGAAATGAGAACTGACGGTAAATAATTTCAGTTGTATGAATGTTTTAAATTATTTACAGAAAACTGTCTAAAAAAACACTTAGATTTATTGTTTTATTTTTGCTTGAATCTTCCAGTTTATTTTCATTCTTTCGCTCGTTTTCAATCTTTATTCAGTAGGTTAATCAAGAAAAAGCGTTTTGTGAAAATTCAAACATATGCCTGCTATCGGGAAAATATAGTCTTATTCTTTTTAAATAGGACTAGCATGTTTATTGCTGTCCATGTCTGTCATATCATATCTTCATCAGCTGGTACACTATTGTAATTACATTATTAGTTTTGGCGGGAACATTTACTTTTTTCTAACTATATATCATGTTAAACATTTTGGAAATTGAAAGACTAAAATATCTTATTCAGAAGAACATTTTGACTCATCAATTGATTAAACTTAGAAATTTCCATGTATGTATGTTTTTGTCATATTTGAATTCACAGTTAACTAGATTTACCCTGGAACATATGAATCAAGTTCAAAATAAAAGTAGAAAAGATCACACATATTATAATTGGTTTTTTTTCATTTTCAGATTCATCCGAAAACAATGTTGGCAACAAAAGCGAGTAAGCTGGCCAACTTTGAAGTACAGCAATAACTGGAATACGGAAAAATATCAAATATACTTAACAGAAATACACTTTTAAAGGGTTAAAATAACATTTATTTACATCACACTTCATAATCAACTGCATCCATTTAGCAATACATGTGTATCGAATAGAATATTGTTTTACCAGTCTTTACCTATCTCCACCAACCGACAGCAGCTTATATTAAGTTAAGATATGATCCTTATGGCGATGTTATTACAGGGGACCTCAACATCGTTCAAGACCGAGAGGTTATAAACTTTTCGAAAAGAGGACAAAGTTATCGTCCTCCTTCCGTCAAAAATATGTTGTTTTTTTTTCAATAAAGCATATGAAAATAAAAGTATTAATCATTTTTGGAGTGTCAAAAACGTTGTGGTTGTTTTGTATAAATTACGTCCTTTTGATGGTCAATTTTTCCATTATGTTGACAGTTTCGACTCTGTACATCACACTTCTACACAAATTTATTAAACAGAAGTTTTCTTATTTAAATGAAAAGTCTGATTGCAAACTTATTTGCTGTAACTTATAAAAAGCTTTCTTCTGTAATGAAAAAGGAAAAAATACACTAACTGTGATAAGATGACTAAAGCTGTAAATGTTCCCCTTGACAATATATATGTACGTGTATGTTATGCATACAATCAGTCGTATGCACACAAACTGTCGATAAACTTTATATGCAATAAAGTTCATTGACAGGTTGTATGCATTCCTATAGACACCAAATATGCCCCTGTAATAGCAGATTTGTTACTGTATTGTTATGGATCAAAGTTTACGGCCAAATCAGTAAAGATTTGTCTATATTACATTTAATTTTATTGATAAATTTTAAAAAACACTTTCCGTTATTTTAATGATAAAAAATTATGTTTACTTTGAATAGTCAAGAATTTTCGAATTATACTACGGAAATTTACCCAAGGGCACTTACTTTAAATATATCTAATACAGACAGCAATGATTGTCCTTTTTCTATATTTTGATATTTCAGATTCATACGCGGCGAAACTTTATACAAGAATTTACGACAAAAGAGACGATTTTTCATTCTCTATTGTTAATTTTCTCATTTTGGACGACGATGATCCTTTTGTCCATTCTTACGGTGTTGATATTTCACAACTTGTTCGCTATGCCCTTGCCTGTAGTCACGTTTTCTATTTCAATGAACGTAATTTTTGTATAAATGGTAAATTATCAAGTCGGGGATTTCGTTGTCAAAAATTAATTATAACTTTTACTAAATTCCTTCATAGATCCAAAATTTGCTTAGAACGTTTGGCTGTAGCTGTATAATTCATATTAAAACAGAATATCACACCGTATATTCTACGGTTATGTTGTTTATAATGCTCGTAAATTTAAATACGATCCATTTAAAAACATTGATCCTTTAAAAAAACTTGTTCTTAAAGGTTATCAATTTAACACAGTATTAAAATCTTTTAATACTGTTTTTATCGATACTAACAATATTATTTTTTTTGATAACTCAAAACATACCTAATTATATATTGCTGCATATGACCTTGTACAGTTATGAGTACTCATAATCCTACATCCTGTCGATACTATTTACTAATATAGCACTGCACAAAGTCGTGCGTTTCTCAGACTGTTTATGACGTCTACACAAAGTCCGTTGAATGTGTACTGATTGATACTTTAGATTGGGAAAACATGATTTAGTTATTAGTTGTAATTTGCTTATTGTTTTTATGTTAATTGGTTTATTTGTGCTTTGTACCGATTTTTTAAGTTAAGCCATTTGCAACTGATTTTTGCAGTTTGTTCTTTTCCTCAATGTGTACAATTCAAATGGCAGACATAAACTTTATACGAAGTTGCAAAATAAATAGTATAATGTAACATTATGGTGGGATGGGAATTTTAAACTATCTACAAGTCCAGTTATTTTGTTCGTCCAGTGAGTCTGTGCATTTTGGAATGTTTAGCTTACATAATGTGAAATAAATGGACTTACAGGACAAATGAAATAACCGGTCTGCATCTTATATGATATATAAGAAAAAACACACAAATTGTGGATTGAATTGTTACATGCATTTCTTAATTTTCATGCCTTTTTTTTCATATTGCATTTAGTATTGAAATCAACCTGTTGTGTATGGTAGGATTGCACTTATTAGTACAAAGTCAAATATTTGAACATATCCAGCATCACTATGATCATATATTTTTAGGCAAATATTATCCTTAGTTAACTAATCTTAAATCTCTCCATCCTACCAGATTGTGGAACATTAAATCATTTCTCATGCAACTGTTCTTTATTTTCATTAACGCCAACAATTTTTATATCTGTTAACAAAACAGCTTGCTCCATTACTAGGATGAATGATGATCGTACACATGTATGATAGCCATCGATTTCCTGTTTGCTGTCAAAGTCACTATGTTAATACATTACTCTGTTACTCTACACTCAATTAGAGTGTCGATTTCAAGCACGTTGTTAAATAGATACCATAGTTTGCAGTGTTAAACTTTCATGCCGAGTCCAGTCTTTTGTAAAAGTTTTGCATAAAATTGCCAAACATCGAAAATACTTTGCCAGATGAATGTTTCTCCCTACTGGATAACACTCGAGCGGTATTGTCGCTTGTCCAGTAAATATCCTAATAGCCTGTGATACTTAATCAAAACTGTTCGGTGTGATCACAAAAATATTTGCAATAGACTTGTGACTTTAACAGCAACTTATACTTCACCATTATCTTCCGGTTTCTCAAATTAAACGGAACTACCAAGCAATTTACACCAACTTTCGGTAAATCAAACACCAACTTCCGGCAAAATTATCACCAACTTCTGAATACGCAAAATACATATTTTCTGCCACATAAAATAAATACTGGCCGTTGTATGATACGATAAGCTAACACTCGTAATTGGTATTAGGGAAGATTTGTGTCAATAAATGGGATGTACGTTTTGTCTGACCATTTAAACGATGCCGCTTCAAAACTAAGCTTTAAACTGACAATTCTGAGGTATCATCAAATACATTTGAACTGCAGCAGACTAAACGTCTGTTCACATCTAAATCTAGGTGTGCTTTGCCTTACCACTTTACCTGTATAAAACCATGTGTTGCCTGTCACGTGATTTACCTGGCGTGTAAATTAATGAGTGGGGTGTCAATCAGGGTGCAATTTATACATACCTTAATAACAGTGAATAATCCATGAAAATAAGATAGTGAGCTGCATATCATCAATTACCATTGATGAATAATAAGCAAATGATTATTAATAACTAAAAATCTCATGATGAAGTTCGTCACAATCGTCACCTTTACGAATTGGTTCACCGATACCATATGTCTGTGTCTCAACTCACTAGCGACATGTTTTCACAATCCTTATGAACCAGAAGAGTCGTCTAATCTATAATTTTACCGACTGCGTCCAATTTTTGATTATGATATATTGACCAAATGTGAATTATTATAACAGGTGATGCATGCATAGAAATAGCCCCAAATTCCGTCGACGCACATAGGTCTTGTCCGTTTTGGATAACCTCACTTCTTGTTTGTAACCTTTATTTGTTTTCTTAATCGATTTGTGAGATGTGAACATAAGTAATCTACTGGTGCCTTATCTTATAGACAAAAGTGTAATGATAAGCATTGACACCAACCACTACTGAATTACAAGGTCCTGGCTTTCAACACGCACATACATAATGTAGCGGGGTTAAACATATGTGAATACTGGCCGTAAAAATACACAATTAAACCATATTTTAAATCGTTTATTTTCATTTTCTACTGAAAATTCGTCGACAGAGAAGCACAAAATAAACAAATACACATTTTTCCTTGATTGCTGTGGATGGATTGTTCACTCTGTTTTATACATTGAATTATTCTCGGAGTCAATTGCTGAGAAAATACATCAATTGTGACTGAAATACAGTTTGTTTATATGACAAAAACGTCTACAGCAGTAATTTGAACAGAAACAAAACCTTTTGAAAAAAAGAAAAACATTTCTAAATTTCCAAAAATGATTACAAAAAGCTTATTCGTGTACATAATTTAACAACATGAACAAGGCATCAAGAAATATGAAAAATAAGAAGATTTTTATAAGATTTCAAAAATGGCTTTTTAAACTATATATAATAAAATAAGGAAAATAAAGCATGGGTTAGCAGGCAACATTTTTATTGGCAAAACATAGATAAAAATAGAGGATTCGGAAATCGAACAAAAAGTCAAAAGCAAGAGTAGCGAACATCCTTAATATCCTGTTAAAAGCTATTCCAGAAATACAGGTCGTGTGCAAGAAATTTATACCACAGATTAATATATACTGGTCAGATAATAGCTTTCGCTAAGACGCAATTTACACTATCGAAATTGTAGGCACAAAAACAATGAACCCTTGAATGGAGATTAAGGGCATACGATACAGTTACAGGGGAGGTAATGACGTCGCTAACGAAAAATGATATTTTTCGCGACGGCAAACTGTGATATTTCGGGAACAGATGCATTTTCGATTGATTTTTGACATTCACGCTGATTTATCTTGAAAACGAGTTCATGGACCCCTCTTTTGAAAAATGACATTTACCTTAATTATGTATGAAGATTACTTTTTAAACAAATCACCGATGAAATATTTTTTAAATTGGATGAATATACAGCAAAAAATGACGTTTTTTGACTAAAACCATGAAAATGTGGTAAAAATGAATTATTTCCAAAGACGTGTTACATAAATGCAAAGCACGCTGGTGTAGACAAGATATCACAGATGTTTTTACAAAAGTTCGCTGGCGTTTATCTTTTAGAATAAAAAAGTTAGGTATGTTTCCAAAAGATAGAAATGTCTAAGAAACCGAAATTTCCACTAAATGTCTACAATGTCGACCAGATTTATTTCTAAAAGTAGCACATGAAGGTATATTTTTTATTACATATTTGAATTGACTAGGTGAAAAATAGCTTGTATGCAAACTTTCGTAAAAAAAATTACCGTGGAATCAAAACTGTATTGTATGCCCTTAAACTAAAATACGGGAATTAATAGGTAAGTCCATATTCCATACTTGTTTTGCAATGAATACAACTCCGTTCAGTTTAAAACAAAAAAATACTTAACTCTATACTTTCACAATTCAATTCAAAATAAAATTTCATTCTAGAAAAATTCCTAAAAACTATTTGTGAAAAACTGTTAATGTGTGGTACAACATGTACTATGCGAAATTAAAACCAGAAAGTTGTAACTTTCTTTTTACAGTGTTCACAATCCATGATAATGTCATTTAATATTCGGGGTTTTTTTTTGCAAGAAT